TTTTTTTTTTTTGGCTGGGAAGTTGCTAGCCATTTCTTGGCTATCCATCCGCTCCTGAAAGTGGGGTACGGTGGGGCCCAGAAGGAACTCCTGAGCCCTGAAGCCCCTGGAGGGACCAGTAGCTCAAGGAGCATCAGACTCCACCTTTAGGGGGTTGGCCACACCTGGGCTGAAAGCAAGGCGGCAGGTGTGCCTCATTGCCCCGCCCTCGAGGGAACGGCGATGGCCCTGTGGTTTCCCCAAGTTCATTCCTTCTCTGAAAATGCTTTCCCACCTCCCTGAGGTGGTTCCTGCACCTGCTTCCTGGATCCTCCTCTCAGGAACCGGTGCCTCTCGTGTATTCTAACCGGCTCCTTGTTCTGCTTGCAAAGGGAGTGACATTCAATTTATTCCTTGTAGTAACCACTCTGCTGAGCTTTTCTGGGAACCCTCCCCGTTAATTTTAATGCCAGGTATTGGGGAAAGGATCCCTGAGGTGGCAGCTCATTAACTGCCCAGTAGGAACCCACCACCACATGCATTTTCTTTGCATATAAAGTTTTCTGGGTTCCAGACAGAGTCAGCTTGTGAACTGGAGCTGCCCACACACAGAACCCGTTGGTAATGCCTATTAAAGGGCCAAACTGAATATTCAGAGAGGTGGTCAGGGTGTGGGAGAAGCATTCGTTCAGACTGAGGACCTGAGAGGAGCTGTGTGCCGTGTTCCCGTAGGTTCTCAACAGGAGGTGCGTCGAGGCAGCAGTGATGACAGGCCTGGCACTGAACTGCCGCATAAACAAGAAGTCCTTGTTTGACAGGAAGCACTACTTCTATGCAGACCTCCCTGTAAGTACGCTTTGTGGTCCGCCCTCTGTAGGCCCTCAGAGTTGGGGGGCTGGCGGCAGGGAGGAGGGCTGTGCCTCTCGCGTTCTCCGTCAGAGCTGGTCCGTCTCAGTGGGAAGCTCTGCCTGGCCCTGATGAAGGCAGGTGCCCCTGATGTTGACCAGATTGGATGTGATTGTCCTGATTGCTGACTCCTGGCTTCGCCTCATGCTTCTGATGGCTCGCTCCTAATTGAACGGGGAGTGCAAGAAGCCCGTGTTCCCAGGCTCAGCCCGGCTGTGGTGTTGGGCACTAATTGCCTGTTAGGACGAAAGCTAACTCCAGCTGATGCAACAGTAAATGCATACCGTAGCTCTATGGACAGAGGGAGAGCTTCCCTCTCGTAAGCCGAAGTTTCCAATAATAGGACTGTCACCTTCGGAGATATTTCTGTCACCTCACAAGGAGCAAGTAAGTGGACGATAGTGAGCAGAAACATGACCCAGAGGCCCAGACTAACCACAGTAATCGGTTGAGTGGTAAACCCAATATTAACCTGCTTTTTTCTTAAAACTAGAAAGTTTTTTTTTCTTTAAGAGAAGCCAGTACGCACTAGGGTCAGTTTTTCATATTACTGAACTGAACCAAAATTGTAATGTTGAATAGGTTTCCCAAAATAATGTTTCATTTGATTGGAGCCTCTGATAGTGTGGCTCCTCTTAAGATTTAGAAAAACAGTAGTGATGGTATTGCTTCACACTCTTCTCCTTGAACTGGAGAGTAGGGCGAGCTGTATTTTAGTGGGTGAGAATAGGAGGAGAATTAAGTAAAAAAAGACTAGGACCTAAATCCTCCAGTTGCTGCTTTTCCTCTCTGGCTGCCAGCCTTTTAGCAAGTTCTGCTTGATAGGGTGGCGAGAAGGAACCTGCACTTTTTTCATCTTGGGAGTGATAACCAGTGTGGTGAAGGTGGGAGACTTAGCAATATGTGACTAAAACGAGATGTTTTAATTGTCTGTGGCTTTCTGTTCTGTCTGGCCCAGGTAGCTCAGATAATCCAGAGTTGGTGTTGTCAGATATTACATGGGACATACTTAGACTAAAAAAGTATTCGTTATTTATATGAATAAGCAATTTATTCAAATTAGTCAAATTCGAATTTAACTGAGCCTCTTGTATTTCCTGTGGCAGCCCTACTCAGTTTAACTTTTACAAATTGAAACTTCCTATTTCAGCACAGAGAATGAGTTGGCCTGATGTTGGTTCTCAAAGTGTGGTCCCTGGGCCACTAGCATTGGCATCTTTGAGGTGCCACCCAGACCAGCAGACTCAAACTCCTTAGGTGGGGCCGGCCTGTGTTTTGACCAGCCTGACAAGTAATTCTGAGACAGCTCAAGTTTGAAAAACATTGGCCTGGTGGCTAGGAGCACAGACTCAGGAGCCAGACCATAGGAGTTCAAATCCTGACATTGTTACTAGCTCTGTGGCTCTGGGCAAGGCCCTTAACCCCTTCTGTACTCTGTACCTCCCTCTGAGGGTTGTCGTGAGGATTAAAAGATGTAAAGTACTGAGAACACGGATTCTGGGACCCCGGCAAGCCCTGCAGGCGCTTCTGCTGGTATTCTCTGTTCTCCAGTTCTCTGTATTGACCTGCCATCTCTTTAGTGTGTGTTGATTCATGCGTGTATTTGAAAGTAATTCCTTCTCTCCACTTAGAAGGAGGTGAGGGAGTCCTTGCAACATCCCGTCAGTATTTTAGTACTACATGCTTTCCATTAGCTGAGCGTGAGTGTCCCAGCCTTTTCTGGTAGAGGAACAAGGGAAGTTGGGTCAGGGAGGGCAGCTGGCATGATTGGTTAGCTTAAAGAGCAGGAACAAAGCAAGCTTAAATGCTCCAGCAGCTGCTGTCAGCCGTGCGGAGAGCAGATAGCAAAATGCTTAGCCAGCACTTCGCAGTAAGGACGGTCTGTCAGGAGCCCAGTAATCAGATGCAGGGTTTAGGCTAATGAGCTAAGTGGAAACACACTGTATTCTTCGCTTAGAAGCCACTGACAGTGAGGTTATTGTTATTCCCCCAAATGGTACTTCAGAAGGGAAGATGGGATTTGTGTTGTTTATTGCATCATTATTGGGAATGGGGGTGTCAGGGAAAGTAAGGCGGGATGGGAGAAGCCAGAAGAGCCAGGCTAGGTTACGGCTGCAGTGCCTACACGGAGTTTCCTCTCCTCTTTTCCCTTTGTAAAATTCTATTCTGTGTTTTTAAGGAACCCTATAGTTCCGTGACATTAAAAGGATCAGTCAGCTGGACCCAGCCTCTGTTTATGGACTAGTGACCGTGTAACCCATGTTTGTGTGCAGGCAGGCTACCAGATTACCCAGCAGAGACTCCCGATCGCTGTGAATGGGAGCTTGGCCTACAGCGTCTTTGTGGGGAAGAAGCCGAGTCAGCTGATCAACAAGACGGTGAGGATCAAGCAGATCCAGCTGGAGCAAGACAGTGGCAAGAGCCTCCATGATGACCGGCGGTCTCAGACGCTCATCGACTTGAACCGAGCGGGTAGGCGTGGAGATTTCCCATCGCTTTTCCTCTCAGCTGCCTTTCATCCCCTCCAGAGTTTCCCCAGACCAACTGAGGAGCCTGACAGATGGAGATCAAAATGTCAGCCTTGATCTGGCATAGCTCATTAGAGAGCACGGCTTAAACTGTGATTACTATTGGGCTTGCTAACAGCCCACTCCTAAAAGGAGACAAAAGTAGCCACTTAGTCATGGACCCAGCAGCTTGAAATCTTAAATAGAGTTAAAAATCACAAAGTGAGGGGAAAGAGGGAAGCAACTCAGAGGCTGAGACCCACTTTGAGGGCCCTTCAGTAATGCAGGGTATTCCTCGGACGTCAGCCTGACTTATCTGCCCATCAGATTGGAGCGCTCCGTCAGGTTGACTCTGCCTCTCGTTTGGCAGGAGTTGGCCTTCTGGAAGTGGTCTTGGAGCCAGACATGTCCTGTGGAGAAGAGGCGGCCACAGCAGTCAAGGAGCTGCAGCTGATACTTCAAACCTTGGGGACCAGCCAGGCAAACATGGCAGGTAGAAGCCACACAAGCAGGGTGTCCCCACTTTACCTTCGCCCTGTCTGTTGCCTGGGTCTCTTCGCACTTGAGGTTTATTCTCTGTGTCAGCTACGTGGAGGCGGTTTACATCCCTTTTTCAGCTTCTTGCATTCCTGGTTGTTGTGTTTTGTTTTTTTTCGTAGAATTTTGCTTAGATTCTTTCCTGAGCCCCCAGCCAAAATAAACACACTAACAAAACCGAGCGGAGGCACTGAGCCCAAGAATGTGAGATTAGGAGTCACAAGAGTAGATGTTTCCTCCTGGCTTCGTGCATCAAAGAGTCATGAAGACTAATAAAATAGTGTGTTTGAACAGTCTCATCTTGCTCAGCAAGAAGACACTGTGCTTACCAGGATAAGTCTCAGTTTGTGAGTGCTACGTGGGTGGCACTTTGTTGGCTGAGCCTTTTCCTTTGGGCCTCTTCCCTTTTTTATCGACTTTTCATCTGTGTACAGCTTAAGCCCAACTCTATAAACTAAGAGCCAAGGTTATGATTTCACAAAGCTTTAACTTGGAGATAAAATCTTAAGTTCAGTAGAAATATAGCAGGAAATTAAAATAAACAAAGAAACCACTTGTACCCTTGGGACCAAGCAAACTATATGTTGTAAGTATTTGCAAATTGAACATAAAAATTACAAGTGTTGATCAGACTCAGTTCCTTCCTGGCTTACTCCCTGGCACCTTCCTAGTGCTGCTTTGCTGGCCCTGAAGTCCCCAAATCGAGTCTCTCCCATGGTTTTGCCCTGTTTTCTGTTCCCAGGGGCTTTTCAGAAAACTTCTGCCACCTGCAGAGCACTCCCTGCCAATGTGGAGGAAGGACACAGATTCTGTATGTACAGTTGTTAATCCGTAGCTCAGTACAGTGTATTAGGGTCCTCCAGAGAAACAGAAGCAATAGTGTGTGTGTGCGTGTGTTACACATGTATGTATGTGTATATATAATGAGATTTATTGTAAAGAACTGGCTCACTGATGATGGGGCTGCGAAGCTCCAAGGTCTGCAGGTGAGCAAGCTCCAGGAGAGCTGATAGGAGAGTTCCAGTCAGGTCTGAAGGCTTGAGAACCAGGAGCCCACAGCATAAGTTCCAGCCTGAGCCCAAACCCAAAGGCAGGAGAGACCGATACCCCAGCTCGGAGACAGTCAGGCAGAGGGAGCAAATGCCCCTCTACGCTGCCTTTTGTTCCCTTCAGGCCTCCGTGGATGGAATGAGGCCCACCCACAGGAGGAAAGGCGGTCTGCTTTACTTAGTCTACAGATTCACATGTTCATCTCACCCAGAAACGCCCTCACAGACAGACTCAGAATAATGTTTAACCAAATATCTGGGCACCCCATGGGCCAGTCATGTTGGCACATAAAATTAACCATCACAAGTGGTCACAGTGGATACCAATAAATACTGATGGTCATGATTTATCTCCCTGCCAGTTTATAGTAGAATTTACCAACCTTTTTATGTCGCATAGTACATTTGCATGCTACAAAGGGACGTCTGAATTTGTAATGCCTTGCTTGTCAACTAGGACATCTTAAAAGCAACAAATTGTTACATCAGAGCCCAGGTACAAGTTGAATCTGAAAACAGAACTTGCCAATTTGTTACCTCCTGTAAGCTAAAGACTGGAAATACACAGCCGCATGAGTTTGAGTGGCATAAAAAGTAGCTGCTTTCAAGTTCGCTTTATAGAAATGAGGCTCTGTTTTAGAGTAAGAAAATTCTCCGTTTTAGATTTATGGCTCATGCTGCTTTTTTTTTTTTTTACCCACGGAACATGAATGAAATATGGGCAGGTTGGATGGTTATCCATTTATGCACTAAGTGTTGATTTTCTATTGCTTTAAAGAAGTTTTTATTATTCCATTCTTCTTCAGAATAACTGTGATTTCTATCAAACCTATGGAATAGTAAACAGGCCACCTGTTAGCTGAGAAATAGCCCCATCTGGGTCCTTGCCAGGAGATAAACCATAACAGCAAGGAAGGATTCATCAGTTTGGTGACATCTGGGAGGGTTCATTAAATTGCACTTGTGACACTTTTTGTTGCTTTTAAATACAGATCCAACAGCTTCGCCCCTGGCACAGCAGCAGAATGGCTGTGGTGGTTCTGAAGTGCTGTGGTGGGGGTGGGGGGTCTGCCTACTATCTGCAGGGGCCCAGCTCTTCATACTGTTAGCATTTAATCAACCCCGACCCGTTTGCTCCTTCTTCTGTCCCGTCACCGTGGGACTACTGTGCAGGCACTGGAGACTGCAGCCTGGGAACTGAGGCCCACCCCAGGGAAGACCGGGGACCCCAGGGTGCTTTTGGAATGACTCTTGAATTCCTCTGGGCTGTAATTCAGTGAGTTCCTCCTAGTTTTGCCAATGAGCATATAGACCAGCTCAGCCAGGGTTCCAAATTCATTTTCTTCTCAATGGACTTCTGCTACTGTTGAGATCCTCAAAGCAGTCTGTTAATTTGAACATGCACTGAAATAGACAAACTAAATCTTGCAATGGTAGTATCTATCTGCTAGTTTGAGCATTTAGCACATGCTCATTGGTTCACAAAGCATTTTTATATTTTTCATCTCATTTAAACTTGACAACACTTCTGAGAGAGGTATTATTATGCCTGTTGTACAGGTGAGGAGACGGAGTCTTAGGGAGGTTGGGCTATTTGCCCAAAGCTCATAAGAAGCGACTGAGCTGGGATTAGAGCCCAGGCATGTCTGACTTCAGGAGCCCCTTCTTTAAGCACTGTGTCACATTGCTTCCTAGTGGCAGCCACGTTAGTGTCATAACTGCCATAGATATCAACTTTGAGAGACAGTATAGCCGAGCGTGAGTGTGGAGGGCACCAAGGCCCCACTCGGGGGTTGGAGTCCTGTTCTACCACTTCTAGCTGTAGGAACCTGGGCAAGGTATTTGCTTTCTCTGAGCCTACTTTCCACATTTATGAGTCCTCAAGTAATTGAGTATGGAAGGGAGAAGACGAAACCAAAGAGGAGAGGAAGTCATCCAAGTCTGAGTTGGGGCAGCTGGATGGCGTCCCCTTTACTGAGACAGGGAAGATTGGGAGAGGAATCGCTTTGTGGGGGGAAATCCGAAATTCCACTTTGGGTATGTGAAGCTTAAAACACTTAAAAGATGCCTAAGTGACTTTGTCATTAAAGCTATATTGTAAGGAATGTGATAATGTGTGTAAAACTTATCACAGGTCCTGACAAATAGCCCATGCTCAGTAAATCTTTGGCATTTTTAACAATAAATAGTATTACTTTTACAGAATCACCACTCGTTTTGGATGAAGACGCTTTGTGATATCCGTTCGATAAAAAAATTTGGTCATTTTTTTCTCTTTGTCAATCCTTGTTGTTTAAGTCCCGTAGAGTATTCAGTGATCAGAATGAGAAAGCTTAACAGACCTTCTCACTAAATCCTCAGGCTCCTGCTGTTTACTGAAGCAGTTTGCTGTCCTGATGTTATATTTCTGATGTGTGAATGTGTTTCAGAAAAAAAATATGTAACCACATCGTATGACTGTGCACGGTGGTATAGTTTCTTAGGTTTGCTGTTACAAACCGCCGCTTTTAGAGGGTAGGAATTGAGCTTGATAACATTCTCGTGAGGTGTGGATGAAGCCCCCCCTCAGTGTTGGAGAATGCATTGAAGCAAACCTGACTTGGTAAGGCTTCTGTGCACTTGAGGCAATTTAACTTAATTTGTTTAAAAGGGATTTTGTCTTCACTGAATAGAATGTCTTTTGTTACTGTTTGATGCTGTATTTCAATCCAGGCTAGGGACCTCTCTTTCAACACTGCAGGATACTAAATGATTCCTCTCAGACATTTATGTAGGATGTATGGTCTTCTCTGGGAGAGACTGAAACTCAGGCTTTTATTCCTTTTCCAAATTGAACGTCTAAATTGTGAAAGATGGTTTCTTTTTCAAAAGCAAGTGAGGTCCGATTCAGGGTTCCCTGAGTTCCAACAAAGTTGTCAAGTATTGAGATTTGGTTGAGTGGTGCTTAGCATACTTTGGAAGTTTTCCTTTGAGCTGAATGGGCCTTTCAGATGATTCCTGCTGTAGATTAGTCTATTCAGGCAGAACTTTAGAACTTATCAGGAGTCTGTGAGACAGTAACCAGTGTGCTTACTCACTGCTCTGGAAAATACCAGAGTTTTGGCTCGTACAACAAGGTGTTAACTTATTGAACAATTACCATGTGTCAGACCCAGCTCTCGGTTCTGAGTATAGCAGTGGAAAAAAAAAAAAAAGACACACATTGTTCCTCCTACCTAGAGCTTATGTTCATGAGAGAGGAAAATACAGTAATAAATAAAACAGCTATAGTGATAAGTGCATTAAGGAAATAGGGTGCCATGATGAAGAATAATATTGGAAGGTGAGGGCCTCTCAGAAGAGGCAACATTTATTTGAGACCTGAAGAATAACCCAGGCCCAGTCAGCACAGAGCTAGGGGATGAGCTTTCCGGGAACAGCTAAGGCAAAGTCCCTGGGGTGAGAGAAAGCGTAGGAAATACGTGGAGTTAACATAGGTAACAGAAGGCCAGTGCAGGGAAAGCGTCACGAGCAGGGGGGTGTGGCGTCGGGTAAGACCGAAAAGTAGGCGAGGGATGGCTTGCCGATAATGGTAAGCATCTTGGGTGTCCTTCCAGGTGCAGTGGGAAGCCATCGAAGGGCTTTTTTTTTTTTTTAAGATTTTATTGAGGAATTGGGAGAGGGAACAGCATTGGGGAACTGGGGAGGGGGAACAGACAAGTTGCTGTTTGTTTGTTCTTCAGTCTAGTTGTAGAGGATGTTGCTTCACTGGCCCATGTTGGTATTATCATTGCGCTCTTTCCAGGTGAGGCAGATCGGTCACCGGCCATTGGATGGCTGCTCACGGTGGCTCAAAGCAGCTACGAAAGTTTACGCCAGCTGCCGGCCAGCCCCACTGCAGCCTATGCCGTCGCCGGCGACTCTCGGCAGCCCAGCTCCAGGTTGAGCTGTTGTTCACCATCTTAGCTGTAGAGGGCGCAATGTCACTGGCCCTAATGTGGGATCCAAACCACGACCCTGGTGCTCAGAGCTGGCGTCCCAAGCCAACTCCTAACCAATGTGTCACTCTGCCGGCCCCATTGAAGGGCTTTTAAGCAACGGGATGACATAGTCTGTGTAATGTTTTAGGAAACCACCCTGGCTGCTGGTGGAACGTGGATTTCAGAAGGGCGAGAGATGAAGCAAGGAGACCAGTTAAGAAGCTTTTGCGATCCTTCAGACGGAAGATGACATGGTTGTGGACAGGGCTGGTGCCAGAGAAGATGTAAATACCAGCATGGGTAGATTCAGGATGGTGGTTAGAAACAACAGGATTTGTTAACAGGCTGGTGTGGAAGGCTAGGAGCAGGAAGACACCAAGGATGCCTTCAAAGAGGTATGGGGAGCTAGGTGATTGCTAGTTACTGAACTTGCGAAGAGGAGGACAAGAATGGCTTCATGGAGGGGCAAAGCAGGATTTGCTTTTAGAAATTGAAGTACCTATGAGACCTCCAAGTGGAGATGTCAAGTAGACATGGGAGGTCAATGTGAAGCTCAGAGTAGAGGCCTGGGCTGAAGACATAAATTTAGGAGTTATCAGCACATAGATGGTATTAATATTTAAACATATACCCCGATAGGGAGAGTGTAAATAAAGAAGGCAGTCCTGAGTTTGAATGGGAAGGAAAGTACCAGCAAGTGAAATGGAAATTGAGTGTCCAGGGAGGTAGGGGGGTAACCAAGAGAGTGTAAGGTCACAGCAGCCGAGAGGAAGTTACTTCAGGAAGAAAGGATAATTATAGTTGGTGTGTCACGTGCTGTTGGTGTGTCATCTGTCCCCAAAGGTGAAGACAGAATTTGTCCTGTGTCCATTGGATTTGGCAGCTGGAGGTTGTTGATGACTTTGACAAGGTGTTTTCTGAGCGATGGGGATAGAAGCCAAGGTGAAGTGGGTTTGGGAGTAAATGGGAGGTGAGGTCGTGGAGACAATACGTGTGTGTGCAACAAACAAAAGTTGTTTGAGAGGATTTGCTGAAAAGGAAAGCAGAGAAATGATAGCTGAATTACTGATGTTGAGAGCATTGGGTTCAAGGTAGTAGGTCTTCAGTTTGTTTTTTCTTAAATGAGAAATACTATTGCATATGTATATATCAGAAGTAATGCTGCAAAAGAGCAGTTAGTGACTGAGGCGGGAGTGAGGAGATGACCGGAGGCAAGCGGGGAGGGGATTGAACATCTGGGCCCAGTCCTTGAGGGCCTTCCATTCTGGTCTTAAAGACCAGATTGATTCAGAGGAGACTAGAGCCATGTGCTAAGTTCCGTGGTGTTGACTGTGTGTGTTCTCATAGTTCAGAGGAGCCACAGGGAGGCTAGCTCATTGATGAGGGTTTTTAGGAGGAGAAGGTGGTAACACTTGAGCACGACCTTGAAAGACGAGCAGAGGCTGAAGAAGGGACAGTGACACTGATAAAGAGAATGTGCGGGCGCCAGTGGAGTAGACAGGGGCGTGTGTGGTGAAAGCTCCCTGATTGGAGGAGAGTCTCCTCGTGGAAGGCTTAATGGGAAAATGCAGGTCATGTCAACCAAGACCAGAGAGGGCTCTTGGATATCAAGCAGAGGAGACGAGATGACCCAGTAGGAGCCGGCCATCCACTACTGTGAGCAACAGTAATGGTGACATCCATGTTGTGGCAGGCTGTAAGTCGGAGCCACATCATGGGGACTGGACAAGGAGGGGTCGCTGTGTTCAGAGTCGGGGTGTGATTCTCTAACCTGGGTTGAAATTCCAAGTTCTCGGGCAAGGGTGGCAGCAGAGGAAATGGAGAGGAAGTGACAGATCTGAGGTATATTTTGAGGGAAGAACTGATACGATCTAGTTGTCAGTTTGGATAAAGGGCAAAGGAAACAGAAGCAGAAGATGGCTTCAGGGTTCCTAGACCAAAAGTCTGATGATGTTGGGAATAGTTGGGACTTCCTGAGATTCCTGTATGCACAAGTTGTCCAAAAGGGGCTACGAGATTTTGTAAGTGTTGAGATGTCCAGGCTAGAGACAGAGTAATTTCCATGCTGAAAGGCACAGGCACCCTTTCTCTGCCTGTCAGCACAGGTGGAGCTGCAGTCACCCAGGGGGTGAGCTCTCCCCATTCCCAGAGGGAATGAGTGGAGGACAGGACAAGCAGCGGCCGGCCGTCGGTCTTGAGCTTGGAGACGGAGTCCCACAGCTCAGCATTGGAGGGATGACAGACCAGTTCCAGGGGTCTCCTTTCTTGGCATGGGATTTATACCATTTTATCATTTTAATATGCATTTGATGTAGAATCTGGGGAAATGAATTTCTTATCAGAACATTAGTTTTGGCAGATTTTTTTTTTATTTGAAAACCTGCCTAGGAAAATAAAATTCCAGCATTTTGTCTTCTCATTGTGTCCTGTTTTGAAATTGGAGAATAGAGAATTTGAGCTTGACTTTGTAGGGTGTAGAGTCTGAGTAATACTTGTCTTCATCTCGTTACCTTGGGATTTTTGCTTCCCTCTCCTCCTCAAGAGCCTCTTAGTCCTTCCCACAAACCACCTGCCTCCTTAGGGGTCATTGCTCCTACCCTAAGGGGCCTTCTGGGTCAGAGAAGGTCCTCCCAGGATGGGGACGGCTCCCTCTGGGGCCCGCCGCAGACTCGCCCCTTCATCACAGCTGTGGCTGCTGCAGCAAATCCTTCCGGCAGTCAGAAAGGATTCCGAGTCATGTTTGTGGAAGGAAGAGATTGTTACAGTACCTGGAGGAAGGAGAAGGGGAAATGCCCAGGTTTCTGGCTCTTGCCCTTGAGCTGCAATTTCTCAAGGACTCTAATAAATCTTCTGGAATCACTGTTGGAAATCCACATTCTGTTGGAGAGCAGTGTCGGGTTATCAGATAGTCATTTCAGAGGCCTTCCTACCAAGCCAGCTCCAACACTGTGAAAATACTTAAGAATAAAACTGCAGAGTAAATCTCCATTTTAACAGTGTTGTTTTTCTTATTTGACACACAAAAGAAATGAGATTTCTCCAGCTGTTATATCCAGAATTTCTCCTCTCTTCTGCATGTGCACAAGTACGCGCACACACACACACACACACACACACACACACACACACACACACACACACACACACCACCCCACCCCCCCACCTCTACCTCAGATACCATAGGACTAGAATTCTCTTAAGTGGCGGAAGTACCAGCCATGCATTTCAGGACCAACCGTGCCTTCTGTAATGTTAGGTTGCTGTAACTAAACAGTAAGTAGACTTACATACTGCTCACCTGGGCATACTCTCTCCTTATAAAGACCATGTTGACTCAGAGAATTTCTAAAGAATTGTCTTTGTTCTCTCCTTCCAGAGGGCCAGTTGAGAGTGGACGCCAATATATCTGTGCATCACCCTGGGGAGCCTTTGGGTGTTCGAACGGAAGTGAAGAACCTCAACAGTGCCAGGTTCTTGGCCAAAGCAATAGGTGAATATCCGCTCTTACTCCTAAGGCACCTCTTCGTGTCATTTATCTACTGCTATGTGACAAGCCACCCCACACCTTCATGACGTGTACAGTACCCATTTCAGTTTTCACAGTTCTGTGGAGTGGCTGGTTTTTCTGGTGGTCCTTCCTCAGCTCATCCCTGTGGCTGCAGAAGCTGGTGGCTCACCAGAAACAGGGCCTTAGCCCGAGTTTACAAAGTTGTATTTGTTCATTATGGATCGGCCGTAATTTAACTGGTCAATATGTTTTTCTGCTTTTTAGTATTTTTTCTAATAGATTGCATGTGCCTGTGTCATCAAGTCTTGGTCGTATTGCATGATGTGTGGGTGTTTCAGTGTTGACAAATACATAGTAATAAATAGAACAGTTGAGCAAGGTAAACATCTGGGGCAGTCCCATAGAATGTGCATGACTCTGAATCTGAGGGGAAGACGCTTCAGAGGAGTAAAACTATTTGTTAAACCAAAGGTGTCTTAAGAGGAAGAGAAAAGGTCGAGGGGCTGGAGTTTGAAGTGCACAGAGAACACGACAGCTGACTGCATTGCCATAGCCAGAATGTTCAGTAGAGTCTTAGGTCTTGTCAGGAAAAGTATTAGAAACAATACAGAAAAGATTTTCTAGTCTTGTATAAAACCTTGTTATCCTAAACCTGGAATGATCCTCAGTGAAGGCAGTCTGACTCCACACATTTTCAGGAAAAAGGCAGTACGGGCATAACTTATGGGAGAAGGAGTGGGGCTTCCCATATGAAGACCTACTTCTGTCTCTTAAAGGAGACACGATACATGTTTCTGAAGCCCTGAAAGGTTTGGGTGAGGGAAAACCCTCTATAGCCCAGAGTTGTGAAGGGGAAGCTTGGAACCGAAGGAAGAAAGTCCTGCTTCACTTCGTAGGTAGTGAGTGTTCTGGGACTCATTCTAAGAGGTGGTGACAGTAACCCACAAAAACAGCAAAACAGAAACCAGACAATAATATTTAGGTGGATTCATCCATAATGAGCTGTGAAGGAGACCCCTGCCTGTTCTTTGGCTGTTCCTAACCTTCTGTGTCCTGTGACGTACCCTTTGAAGCAGCAGCCTGAGACAGAATTCTACCTGTGGCTTGTTTAGTCTGGAAGAACCTAAGCTTTACTATTACAGGCTCTATTATCCAAGCCAGTAGTGTTTCCACCCCATTTTTCTTCTACACTGGGTCTTTTAGCCATCGTCTCATGTCAGTCAGAGACTCGCATTGGAGCGGGAGAGGTGACGAGCAAAAATTGACATGTTTGGTGTTGCTGCTGCTTCGCAGCTGAGATAAGAGAGTTTGGATTTGGGCGAGGAAGGTGGTGCGTGGCGGGGTGGGGAGGTAAGGGAAAGGCCAAAGCTGTTTCCATAAAGAAGCTTAGCAGTCGTTTTGATTACCACAGCCTGCCTTGTTGGAGGCTGAGGGAGCACGGCATAAAGCAGTGGCTCTTAATCATTCGGGCTCATAGATCCCTTTGAAAATGCAATCAAAATTCTGGACCCTTTCTCCAAAAAATGTACATGTGTACACACCCACATTTTGTATATTATTTTAGGGGTACCAAAGCCCCTTGGAGCCCATCCATAGATCCCAGGATAAGACCTCTTGGCGGGCAGCAGCCCTAGATCTGGTGTCACTCAGCCTGGACGGTGGTCCCAGCCATTCTTCTGTACTGGGTCACTTAGTCTCTCTGAACCCAGGTTTTCTCAAAAAGGGAGGGAACAGAGCTTCCTAACAGACCCTTTCCAGCACCATTATTCTAAGTGGCAGCAAGAAGAAAATACAATGTACAGTCGTCCCCCTTACCTGGGGGGGATAGAGTCCAAGACCGCCTATCGATGCCTGAAACTGCGGATAGTACAAAACCCTATAGATACTGTTTTTTCCTACATATACATACCTATGATAAAGTTTAATTTATAAATTAGGCATAGTAAGAGATGAACAACAATAATAACAAAATAGAATAATTATAACAATGTACTGTAATGAAAGTTATGTTGCTGTGGTATCTCTCAGAATATCTTATTGTACTGTACTCCCATTCTTGTTCTTGTGACGATGGGAGATAATAAAATGCCTCGGTGTTGAAATGAAGTGAATGAAGTAGGCCCTGTGATGTAGCATTAGGCCAGTGGTGACCTTCTGTCGATACTGTCAGAGGGGGATCATCTGCTTCGGGTGATCCCGGATCATCGAGCCATGATAATGTCAGTGGCTGAATATCAGGAGCAGACAACGTCAATGTCTGTGGTCGGGGAAATTTAATATTTTCAGACCATGGTTGAATGCAGATAAGTAGACCACAGAAAACGACACCATGGGTAAGCAGGGAGTACTGTATAAGGGAAGACCTGTTATAAACAGCCCTCTTGGTAATTTTTTTTTTTTTACTTAAAGATTGCAAAAGATTTCTAATTATTGCTTGACTGGATGAAAGGAATAAAAAATATGATACTAAGTTACTTTGTTTTTCTTAGACTATGAAATCCAGAGGCAAATCAATGAACTTGAGAACGGAGGTGAAATTCTGAATGAAACTCGCTCGTTCGATTACAAACTGGGGTGAGTTGGCCTTGACCAGCGTCTGGCATGCACAGCTGGGTGGGGCTCCAGGCTGGGCTCGCCACAGACCAGCCCTGTGACCTCGAAGAAGGCACTTAGCTTCTCTGCACGTCTGCTTTCTCATTACTAAACTTAGGAAAACACTGTACCCTCCAAGGATATAACCCACCCTGGTGACTGGTAATAGGTTTCAGCTGAACCAGACACCTACATAGTGCTTTAGTCTTAGGTCCTGACCCTTCCCTCGCTTCCAGATTACCTGCTTTACGGCAAGTATTTTTGCTTCCTTAAATTCCATCAAGCTAGGGGTAGAAGAAAGTTTAGAGCTGGTTGTAGAGGTACCTTTTTTTTTGTTTAGATACCTTTGACTCAAATTTTCTGACTCAGAATTTTGAGGATTTTATGTTTTTAGCAGAAGACTGAACAAAGCTCACAAGCCTAGAGTTAAAGCTGCTTAAAAGCTGGAAACATTAAAGCAATTTCTTTTTTTTTTTTTAATTAGCATTCTGAACATTTCTCTTTTTTTAATATTTTTTTAATGTAGTCATAAAGCGTCTCCGAAGGAGGAATGGAAAGCTTGAATTCGCCTGTCTCTTATTGGTAGGGAGTCCCCTCTCTGCATGTGTGCTAGCCAGTGTCACACGCAGCGTTTAATGGTTTCTCATTTAACTATCATAGGTGCACCGTGCCAATGAGAGACAAAGAAGGAAAACAAGACTACAGGTGATTACTCCTCTTGTCAAAGTGACATTATGTATCTGGGGTTAGGGGCATATTTCAAATCTCCTTGCAGATCGACCTAATGATCCTGGATGGTTCTTAGGAACCACTTTTTGTTATTGTTGCATGTTGGAAAATCTAGTCTTCCTATTTCAGTGTATACTGAGAGAATATAGTCTTGATTTGGTAGCCTAGAGGTGCCTTATTGGACAGATTCAACTGTTGGAAGATGCTTGTTCGCTGACCTCTGTGTGAGGGTTGTTATAATTGAACTAAGAGGATGGCATTTGGGGACGGGGACTAGCCTGTCTTTACTCTTATATTTGGTGATACACTGAAGTTCCTGGAGAAGAAATGCAAAAAGATACATATTTATGGCATTTCTCTTCAAACCTCAGGTAGTGCTATGTAATTGATACATTAAACAAGTTACTTAATATGAGACCCAGAAGTGAAACAAATGATGATAGGCTTGAGATACATTGACCCTTTCATTTTTCCCCCCATTGAGTGTGGCAGATCACAAGGTTTGAAGTTTTACGCATGAGTTGTTGAGATTAGCCCGCCTTTCCTTCGCACAGTGCTGGAAGGTGTAAGTGTGTAGCGTCGCCAGGTGGACAAGAAGCAGCTCATAAACCCTTAGAGTGAGCTCCGCCTCAAGGACTCCTCTCATGGTGTCTGGGCAAGTCGAGGTTGTTTTAATTACTGTGACCTTCTAGGTCCAGTCTGTTCTCCCCAAGAACTTTGTCCTCCAGGGTTGCCCCCCACTCTGTTTCTGCTGCCTTCTTACCAAGCGTGGAGTAGGTGTGGTCTCGCCAGTGGCTTCAGCTCAGCCGCTCGGGTTAGGAGACGGAGTCAGGAAGACTCCCTTTGGCTCCACTCACCTTCAGAAGTCAGCCTGATTCATAGTACAGACTGGGCGTCAAGGTGACGGGTTGCTTACACTTCTATTACCTTGCAGCCACCATTTGTTCTGTATTATCCTGCTTTTACATAAGCCCTTTGACAAGAAGGAGAGACAAAACGATAGATGCTAGAATAAAACAGAGGGAAGGGCACCTTTGTTTCATAAGGCTGTATGCAGGGGTGCAGCGTCCACATTTAAAAAAAAAATTAACTGTATTTTCTAAAGCAGCTTGGGTTTTACAGCCGAATTGAGTGGGAATTACAGAGAATTCCCATATGTTCCTTGGTATATACCATGTACTCCCCGGTTGTAGCCCCTGGCATTAGTGTGTAGTGTGGTACATGTTATAATTGATTAACCAAAATTGATACCTTATTAACTGAAGTGCAGGGTTTACATTAGGGCTCACTCTTTATGTCGTACACTCTGTGGGTTTTGCCAAGTGTATGAGGACATGTGTCCACCGTTGCAGTGTCGCACAGAATAGTGTCACCGCCCTAAACGCCCCCTGTGCTCCACCTGGTCATCCTTCCATCCTTCCTCTCCCACTCATTGCTACATTTTATGTAGGCAAAATCCATTCATTTCTTCTACTTCTCAAGAAAGAATGTTTTTCTTATTCTTTGACTTCGTTTATTACACCAAGACCGCTAAAAATAGTGGAAATAAAAAAATGGGGGGAAGTCATCTTCCTTCCTAATAAGTAAATGGTTCTTATTTGGACCTATTTTTCCCAGCCTGTATCTTTATGAATAAAAACTTTATCCACAACTATACATCACTATGTGGCATGAGCCCTACGTTGTACCTTTTTCACTCGTCACTGTTTCATCAGCTTGGAGAGTAGCAGGTTGGTGTTCAGAGCTGTGGTTTGCACTTGAGCAAAGACTGGTTCCTAGGAAACGGGGAGAGTTGATATTGTAAGACATTAGAAAATGATTGCAAGTCACGTGGCCTCTAAACACAAACTTTTATATCCATGGTAGGGTTTCTTTCTGATTAAACCAAATACTTCTGAGTCAGGCCCTGTCTCCTTTCTGCCTAGATTTATTCCCGAGCCCAACCTGCCTCCCCTGCTGCTCTACGACTCAGTGTCCCTGCCTGCTGGCGCAGACCCACAGCAAGTGATCGATATTGACCAGATTCGGAAGCGGCTCCCCGAACTCCCCAGCGTGACCCGGGAGAAGCTCATTCAACAGTATGGGATGCTGCCGGAGCACAGCCTCACCTTACTGGTAAGCATTGATCGGAGGCTCAGTAACCCCAGCTCAGCAGCTGAGCCAACACTGCACAGTGGGCCGTGCGTGGAAAGGGCAGGTTGCCTCAGTTGTACATAGATGCTTCTGAAAAGAACAAGGCGTGATACACTTTACCCACTACCCTTATTGGTAAATGCTCCTCATAAAACCAGAAGTGGAATCTCGTACCTCATTTCTTCTGTGTAGAAAGGAATGGCTGCCCACAGCATTCGTGGAGGCTGCCTGAAGATGGTCTAAGTGATACGGACGAGTGTTTTCCCACGTGTGTGCAGGACAAAAGAAAAACCATGGATAGGGTTTCTATTAGTATTGAACCATAACAGGGTCTGGCAGGAAGTTAGGCTCTCCAAAGCCAGCCAATTGTTTTACTAATTGTAGAAGAAGATATTTATTCCACACAAATTACTGAAAATTCGGATCAAAAGGATCAGTCGTTTTAGGCTTGAGGATGCATCTGAGGGAGCGTTAGAGAAACTGACACCATTGAGATCTGTGCAGGGATTTTTCCATCCTTTTCAAAGCTGCTTGGAGCTTTGCAGTTTTCTTTGTCATGGCAACATTAAAGTGATCCGGCATCAGTGAGTGTAGCGTTTTGTCACAGTTGTCTGCTACTTGTCTGTTGGGGAGGAAGTAGAACGGTTTGCTGCTCCATCCTTCAGGGACTAGGTATAGCCACACTGATCTTTTGCAGCAGCAGAATCTATAGAAACTAGATTTTTGCATTTCAGTTGACCAATAATGAACACATAAGGATATTAGGATATCCATGTTTATATGTAAATTTATACAGAACCCAGCCATTTCTGGTACAAGGTAAGCAATGGAATGTTTGTTGAACAGATGATTTTCCTCTTTATCATCTATAAACCAGCTAATTTGAGAAGTATCCAGAGAGTCCTCTCTTCCTACCAATGAGTATGCACGACCAGTTATTTCCTTGTACCTTTAGGCAGAGTTGATCACTGTCTCCTACAGGCTGCTGGCATAGTGTATTCCTGCCTCTGTGGCACTTCTCTGTACTTTAATTATTTATCGGTGTATCTTGTTCCGCGCCTTGCAGGCAAGGACCGTTTCATCCTCCCCCTCTGTTACTCAGCACAGATGAGCACTGCAGCAGCGCTGTAAGCCGAGCCCGGGACTGCAGGAATCAGTCAGCTAGCATCTCGCACAGAACACCTTTCAGCCTGTGTTTTTCCTAGGCTGATTTAACAAAACTTCCCCACCATGTCAATCACTTGAATTTCCAGCCCACTCGAAAACAATTCCAGTGCTAAGTGCTGAATTCCAGTCCTGCGTTTTATGCCATAGCTGCCAAATTCTCCAGGGTAGAGGAGGAAGGGGACAAGGCCACCCAGCCTTAAGGTGTCAGTACCTCTCTCCCCTTGGCATTCTTCCAGCTGGACCAAGGCCACTGTTGCAGGTCGTGAGTGACAAAACCGAGTTTCTTGGCCATTTCTTTCTCCAAGACTGTGATTTCCGAGAAGTATGCAGCAAATAGAATGTTGGAAATTCTTTTTGTATATCAGCTTTCTTTGTAAGATAAGTGAAAGGGGCTTTCTGAACCTCCTCTCGAGAATATGGCTCTTTCTCTTCGAGGCACTGTCTGAAAGTAGATGTTTCCTTCAGAGAGTGTCCCTGTAGGATTGTCACGCTCAGCCCCCAGGGACAAGCGTGTGGTGGGGGGAACATCTGCCTCTCCTTGCTGCTGCACGTAAGTTCTCTGAGGGCAGGGACATTTGCGCATTTGTGTTTGTGTCCCAGGCTCCCTCACGTGTTTTTCACAGCGCCAGAACCAGAGGCCTGGACTGATGTTAGCTGAGGAGTGGCAAGTGAACGAGTTGATGTTGTTGTCGTTAAGGCCCCCTTAGGAAACCTACCTCCAGTCTACTCATTTCAGCACTTTTATTAGCATCTCTCATAGCGAGGCAGGGACAAAGTTGTTTTTTTGGGTTTGTTTTTGGTTGGTTTTTTTTAAAAGATTTTTATTGGGGAATTGAGGGGATGAGAATAGTTCTGGGGAATTGGGGGATGGGGAACAGACAAGTTGCTGTCGTTTTGTTCTTCAGTCTAGTTGTGGAGGACGTTGCTTCACTGGCCCAATTGGCACCATCATTGCG